ATGCTAAGGATGTATGGATATGATTATCATGATAATTGTTAGCGATGCTAAGGATACATGGATATGATAATGATTGTTAATGATATTAAGGATATATAGACATAATTATTATGATTGTTAGTAATACTAAAGATACATAAACAAAATAATGTTTGCTAATAATGTTGAGGATACATCATAATAATTATCATCATAATCATATTCATTATGATTGTCATCTCTATATTTTTCAAGTATCCTATTAGGCACCATTAGAGATATAATAATTGCTAGTGATACGGAGGATATATAAATATGATTATCATGATGATTAGCCGCCAACAAATCAGATGCCAAGCATATGCAAATCCAAAATAACAATTCCCATTTCCAAAGACCATCGTTCGAATTCAAAATAAGAAAAAACATAAATATTTAAATACAAATGTCCTCTTTAACTAAATTGATCCATAAATTTTCAAAATCAGCAAAGGACACGCGTGTGCGAATCCCATCAAAAATGGAAAGGAAACGAATGGAAACCCGCGCGGCGCCCGCAGGAAAATTGTTGGAAATTTGGACGCTCGCGTAGAACGCGACAAGGAAATCTGCAAGAAGCTTTTCCCCAAATAATCATATCAAAGATTTCGTCCCCAATCATCGGTTCAAATATCCCCACCTTCCGCAGCTATACAACATACAATTACTATCCCCATATTTAGACTAACAAACATAAACAAAAATTAAATAACTAAATTCCCATCTAATAATTCTAAAAATATATAAATATGTTACTAACTACTAGTAATATTCAAGATATATTCGCCTCGGCCCCAAAGGGGCCAAGGGCGCTCAGATCTCTTCTCCAAAGAGAATCTTCGCTTTTCCCCTCCCCCAACCCCCTCCCCGACCAAAATTTTGCCGGGCCGCCCCCCCCAACCCATGTCGGCTGGACCCAAAATCCTGTCCGGCGGGCCTTGAAATTTTCGGGGTTCGTCGGCGTCCAGCTCCATGGGTCCATTTTTGTCGAAAATGTGCTGACAATTGCGAAAATCACTAAAAAATTGCTTTTTTGTCCTGAAAAGCATGACCTCCTGGTGGCCAGGCCTGCCTGACGTGTCTGAGACTAGGCTCAGGCCCAGCCCAACCAGCAACCCGCCTGCTGGCCAGGCCTGTCAGCCCCACCCAGCCTCAGGCCCAAGCTTGTCTGAAACAGGCCGACCTCAAGTCATCCAGCAAGCCCAGCCCAGCGCCCAGCCCAGGCCCTAGGCCGGCCCCAAGGTCAGGTTTGTCTAAAAGCTATGCCCAAGCCCGTCTGACGCGCCCCAGCCCCTGCTCGCGTCTGGCCCCAAGTCATCCAGAAGGCCCTCAAAGTACGCCAGCCTGAGATTTTTTCAGGCACAGCCCAGCCAACTCGCCACCCAGCCTCAGGCCCAAGTGTGTATGAAACAGGCCTTGCCCATCCAGCAACCCGCCCAAGCACAGCTCAGCCCAGCCCGCCCAGCCCAAGTTCCAGGCACAACCAGCAGCCTGGTCCGGCTGCCCGGCAGCCAGCCCACCCATGGCTTCGCAGCCTCGTGGCTGAGACTAGCTTCAGGCCCAGCCCAAAGCCTGCCCAGGCCCAGCGCATCTCAGGGCATGCCAGCCACTACCGGCCCCCAGCTCCCAGCCCACCAGCAGGCTCAGCCCAGTGTGCCAAGGTCAGGTTTGTCTAACGTGTCTGAGACTGGCCTCAGGCCAACGACCAATCTCACGTGTCTGAGACTGGTCTCAAGTTATGCCAGCTACTCAGCAGCCCAGGCTGACCAGAGCCCGCCTGCTGGCGTGTCTTACGTATCTGCGACTGGCCTCAGGCCCAGCCTAGCCAGCAACTCGCCACCCAGCCTCAGCCCATCCAGCGACCCGCCCAAGCACAGCTCAGCCCAGCCAGCCGAAGTTCCAGGCGCAACCAACACCATAATCCAGCTGCCCAGCACCACCCATGGCTTCGCAGCCTCGTGGCTGAGACTAGCTTCAGGCCCAGCCCAACCAGCAACCCGCCTAAGCCAACCCCACCCAAGCCCACCCGGTTTGAGACTCGCAGGCCTCAGCCTATCTAGCGCCGAGACTGGGCCTCACCAGCCTGGGCTCAACTAGCGTCTAGCCCAGCCCAGTCCGCCTGCTGGCCAGGCCTGTCTGACGTGTCTGAAACTGGCCTCAGGCCCAGCCCAGCCATAGCCCAGCCCCCTCAGTGCGGCTGCCCAGCCCGCCGTAAACTAGCTTCAGCTCAACCAACAACCCACGCAAGCAAGGTCCAGCCAAGCTGCCCGAGACTAGCTTCAGGCCCAGCGCAGGCTTATCTGATGTGTCTGAGACTAGCCTGTGGCCCAGCCCAAGCAGGCGAGGCCGGCCTGGAGCCAGCTTCAGGTATTCGGACCTTCCCAACACTGGATTTCGGTGTTCCTAACCCTTCCGTCAAACTAAGCTGGGCCGAGGCGAGCAACGCGAAACATTTACAATTCTTATTCATTATATTTATCATTATTTCTTTCTTCTATATATTTCAAATAGGTCCATTAAAAACATTAAAAACATCATAAATATAATTATAATAAATATAATTATGTTAACAATATTAAAATTATTATAATATATTTTTAATATTATAAATAATTAGTATAATATATTTTTAGTTATTATTAATAATTATTATATTAATTATATTTATATAATTATTAGTAATTATTATTATGTTTATTTTTTCTTTATACACATTTCAATTATCTTATTAAATATCATTAAAAATATAATAATATTAATAATATATTATATATAATAATAATTAATCTTATTAAAAATACATCGTAATAATTATTAATAATATATCATAATAATTATTATTCGATTTAAAATATAAAAATTAAATAATACAAATATATAATTAATAAAAATAATAATTAATATAATAATAACAATCATTTTTATAATCAATCAAATATAATTATCATTCTTATTCTTGTTATTATCAATATAATCATCCTCATTATAATTATCCTCATCATCTCTGTTTCTATTTATTTCAAATATATCATCAACATCATTAACATAATAAACGCCATAAATATAATTCTTATAATAATTAATAATACTAAACATATATCATAATTATTTTCATCCAAATTTAAAAATATTAAAATTATAAATATAATTATCATAATAATTAATAATCATGCTAATATTGTGTCATAATCTTTATCATCCAATTCAATTCAATCATTCTTAACCAACTCCCAATTTTCTATAACATCCGAAATGCAATCATCACCTCAAACCCCAGATTTCGGGCAAATCCAAAAACAACCTAACCCCGGATTTCGAACAAATCCGGAATTTCTACAACATCCGTAATACAATCATCATGCATACATCTATTAAGAGTCGACAACACAGGGCAACAGCCCTCAAATTCTATAAATTTAATTTCAATTGTGGTTTTATAAATGTATTCGTTTGTAAATATATATATATATATATATAATAATTTTAAACAATTCGACAATATAAAACCGAAACGATTCCGAAACTAAGATCGAAAACGATTCTCAAACTCGGACCAAAATGATACCGTGCCCTCATCAAAACCCCCAAATGGACGCTTCTCGCACTGGGAATGCCTGGCTTTTGTCTGAAGCATCCATTTCAGGGGTGCCAAATTTGGAAAACACCCAGTTGCCGGCTTTTATTTGATGTGCGTCTCGCTCTCAAGCCCTGCGACTTTGTCGCCAGGTTCTGCGCAATCCGTAGCGGTGCTTGGCATCTGCCCGGATCTGTTGGCTGGCTTCCATGGTTCCGTCGCCCAGCTGAGTCACAATCAAAACCCAGTACACAAATGGTCGACCGAGAACCATGTAAAGAATTAGGAAGACGGATATCCGAAGCTATTTATGGCTGGGATCGTGCGTTAATGTCTACCTCTGATTAATAACCCCCCCCTCAATCAACTTCCCTCCCCAAATAGTTCTTGCAACTTGATTACGAAGTATTGCTCACACATTTGTTGTGTTTCAATCGATTTAGTATTGCTGGAGCTTCCTTTGGAGATTGGATTCGGGTTTCCAATTGGCTTAGTATTGGTGGATTTGAGGTTTCAATTGATTTCGTATTGCTGGAGCCTCCTTTTGAGATTTGACTTGAGGGATTTGAGTTTGCAATTGGTTTAGTATTGCTGGAGCCTCCTTTTGAGATTTGACTTATTGGGATTCCAATTGATTTAGCAACCAGGAATCTTTATTTAGGGGGGGCCCTAAATAATGTTTTTTCAACCCTCAAGTACTACCCTTGTGGGGTTGGTTGGGGGCCACTTTCTAAACAAGAGTATGTAAAGAATTTGCAGTTTGGGAGCTGGGATTTTGTTGGGATTGCAAAGCTAGATGATTGAAATCATAGGGAGCAAGTTACAAGGGAAATATTTTAAAGATTGAGTCTTTTACTAAGAATGCCTTTTCAAACACCTGTTGAGTTTTTTTTTTTGGGGGGGGGGCAACCAGGAATCTGAATTTGGGGGGCCCCCTGAATAATGTTTTTTTCAACCGCCAAGTACTACCCCCCTTGTGGGGTTGATTGGGGGCCACTTTTTAAACAAGAGTATGTAAAGAATTTGCAGTTTGGGAGCTAGTATTGTTTGTAGACTGAAATTTTAAGGCAGGCGAGGCAGATGTTGAGAGGATGCTAGCGTGTGTGTGTGTGTGTGTGTGTGTGTGTGTGTGTGTGTGTGTGTGTGTGTGTGTGTGTGTGTGTGTGTGTGTGTGTGTGTGTGTGTGTGTGTCTGTGTGTGTGTGTGTGTTGTTTGGTGTGTTTTTGTTGTGTTTTTTTGTGAGTTTGTGTGGATTCCCCGCATAAACAAATAAATAACAACAACATAGCTTCATTTTGGGGGGGGGGGGGGGTTATTAATCAGTGCCGGCCCACAACATAACTTTAATCGGGGGAGGTGTTTTAATCATAGGTCGACACTACTCACCTTCACTTATGCGGGTTTTGATTGTGGCTCAGCTGATGACACACGAGTCACGAGCCCTTGCAAGAGCACTCAAGCTTGCTCAAGGGAGGTCTCTGTCAACAAATTAGAGGCAACGCAATGTTCGAACCTACGCAACGTTCGTCCTTGGTGGTTTGGGGTCTGCTTGGTATGTCCCGACTGAACTTCACACCATCGTCAGAATGCCCTGGCGCAAGGCATTGAACAAATGCCCAACAGCTCAGCTACCAGTTTCTCTTTGATGCCAATAAAAACAGCCAAATACTGGCCCTACTGCGGATGGACAAAATCCAGGCTCATGGGCTGAGGAAACAACATATTGGACAAACGGCACACAAATAACCTACCGACTGGTGCAGGATTTTGTCCACAGGGTCGATATACCAAGGAAAATCGCTTGCCAAAATCCAAGGGCCAGCCGAAAAACAATATCCTTTGCTGACCCCTCTCCAAAAAGCTTAACTCCCCGCAAAGAACCCGGGCCAATTCAACAGCCCTTTGTACAACTAAATTGAACAAGGCTTGGACACAAAGTAACTGCAGCCAGCTTTGCAGGGCGTGGTTTGTTTCTTTCGCTTGCGTTTGCGTGTGTCTCGCTATCCAAAAATAAGCAAGCGTCGCAGTTTCAATTAGGGTCCCCTATTTCAGGACATCCCCATTTGCTCGGAATCTCCGGATTTTGATGCGCATGTTCCTGCTTGGCTTGCGGCTTTTCACATGGCTGATGGGTAACACCGGGGGTGTCTCAAACTGGAGGGTGCCCGTGTTGGATGGTTTTATCGGGAAGCAACCAGCCACAGCAAGCA